AATCTTGCTACTCAAGCTGTGTATGAACATTTTTGTATATATTTGCTTCTTTTCCATTTTGCATTTACTTGTACTTTTACTTTCAATACTTAAGTACATTTAAGATTAAAAAAATACTTTTCATACTTAAGTACAATAAATATCACATACTTTAAGACCTTTACTCAAGTAATATTTTAAACGGTGACTTCAACTTCTACCAGTCATTTTCTGGTAAGATATCTGTACTTTTACTCGAGTATGGCTTTCAGGTACTTTATACACCACTGGATGTTCTTTAATGTAAACTTATACTTGATTATTGTAGTTTTTATTTCTAGAACCACACTCAAGTAAGCTGTTCAAATTCTGAAACGAGTGGTCTGCGAGTGGTGTGTGCTGCTAACTCCTCCAACTGACATAACTTTATTGTTCTGACCAGACAATTTTTGGTGGTTGCCACCGGGTATTAAGTAGCACCTAAGAGCTTAACAATTCTTTACAGGAGTTGTCCATCTAATTAATCCACCTTCAATGTCACTCCAACAAAATCCATCCCAGCATCATTCTGCACTCACCATCCTTCACTATGATGTCTCTCTCAGTGCCATCAATCTTCTGGCGGCCGATGATGTAGCTGGTGGCATCAGCGAAATAGATGAATTCGGTCTCAGTGTGGAAGTCCAGGGCTCTTGGGTTATTCAGGTTCTCGATGGGGATGATGTGCTCGTCATACACCCTGGCATGCATGTCCATACCACGGATGACACCAGGCCGGCCTTTACCGTACACCAGGAAGAGCTCATGCTCTGGTTCTGAGGAGAAAAAACGTGATATATTATATGCAAGAAAACCCTATAATAGGGAATGCTGTTGTGTAACACTGTTTGAAACTGGTTGAGCAGGCTGGATTGAGATTTTACACACTCTTGCAGGACTTTCCATCACTGCCCAGGCTAAGAAGAGCTCATGCTCTGGTTCTGAGGAGAAAAAACGTGATATATTATATGCAAGAAAACCCTATAATAGGGAATGCTGTTGTGTAACACTGTTTGAAACTGGTTGAGCAGGCTGGATTGAGATTTTACACACTCTTGCAGGACTTTCCATCACTGCCCAGGCTAAAACCAGAACGGCAGCGGCAGGTTCGGCTCTTGTGACTGTTACCCAGCAGGCAGATATCAGAGCAGCCGCCTGGCTTCCCAAACTGATCCGGAGCACATGCGTGACTGCGGACTGTAAGAACAAATACAAAAGCCTAATTTTAACATAAGGGACCAGTGGGGAAACCACAATGAATAGTACTGAGTCATGCTGCCTTACAATTAAAATGCTTGAGCACTTGCTGAACTTTACATTTAGAAACATTTTAAAACTAAATCCCACAGTCGTACCTGCAGGTTGACGTCTCTGGTGGTAAACGTGAAGGGCGCCACCCTTATCTACGCGTGTCACCACCTGGAAGTCAGAACTGTTGAATCGGTTGACTCTGATCACACTGGTTTTGGGCTGCATGTTGGCATTGTCAGAGTTGGTGGCATACAGATAGTTTTCAAACACTGTTAGACCATAGAGATGTTCAATCTGCCAAAACAAAGAAAAAAAAGCATAAAAATAGAGCCACTGTGAATAAAGTGTGTGACAGAGTATACACTGTTTGCCATCTGATGCACTGTGTTAAATGATAGATCAATATATTGGTGAGAATGATCACCTATACAAGTGGTTATCAACCTCTTTGACTTAAAGGCCTCACCTTGTCCACATCAAGGATCCGTGTCTAACTCAATTTCAATTACCTATTTACTCAATTTACATGACTTTTACAGTTCTAAAATTCACACTAATGAGACTTCCTCATATTTCCCAGTTTTCAAAGACACTGAGATTCTCGGCTCTAAAAAAAAAAAAAAAAAACGGCTGTTGAGGAGGTGAATTAAAATAAGAAAAAGTATAAAAGAGTGATTTAAAACACTATATCCAGTTTTTAATGATTGCTTTAGATAAAAACTGTAAAATGGATTCAGGGTTGACTCGGTTAAAAAAAAGAGTCTGTGTGGAGTAATAATTTCCTAAGAGAACTTAAACCAGCACAATTTAATAAAATATGTTTAAGAGAGACTGGATTCTGGCATGATCCCAGCAATAACTGAAAATACAGATGTGACTTTTAAGGTCCGCTTGGAAGTTTGCTGGTTGAGAACCAATGACACATACTATTTTCTGTAACTAAATAAATCAAAACAAACAGAAACAAAACATTAAAAATCAATTATTTTAAATGCTACAAGTGAATTTAGGCATCACAACAATTTAGATGTACAGTCTGAGATCATTTTGATTTGTTATTACATTATAATTATTTTTAAAGAATAACTTAACTGATGTTACTGTTATATAATGTGCATCCCTATGCAAAAGTATTGCAACATCAGATATTGATTTTGAACAGTGCAAGTTTGAACAATCCAGTGTTTATTTTTGCAATACGCTGAATGTAAACTAAAGGACTGAATGTTCTAAGAAGCAAAAAAAAAAAAAAGAGTGACACTGTTGACTTGCACAATGCTCAGTTTGCACTGCTACAGCAGGTTTTGGATGAGCTAATGCTGATCTTTCAGTCTTGCTGATCATGTGATGTTCTCAGTTCCAGAAATTCAAGAGTGATGACGTCAATGCAAGTGAAATCCTGAGATAGAGTTCATGGCTCCAAACAAACAAATCTCTAACAGCATGTACGTGTTTGGCATCCACAAATGTGCATGTGACACTTCACGCGTACCAGCAATCCCTGAATGATGGTGTGCCGGTTCTTGCCTTCGTAGTCCACCACCTCAATGTAATCCAGGTAAGCGTCAGCCCAGTACACCAGCTTGCTGACCAAGTCCAGAGTGATGCCGTGAGGGAAGACGATTTTACTGTCTACCAGTTTGGTGCGGTTCTGGCCGTCCATATCACAGCGCTCTACCTTCGGGATTTGGCCGTAGTCTGTGAAGAACACTTTCCTGGAAAAGAAAAAAAGAAGAACTTTACGATATACAATTAACTGCAAAAGTAATAAATTAATAAATAAACTGTATTATTTTCACACATGATGAACTTTCATATTTAGAACAATTGGGATTTTGTTCTGTGTGAACATTTCTCAATTTTTACTATTACAATGCATCTGGATGTTTATTTGTTTTTTGCAGTTTTATAACACTCTTTATTCTAGATTATTCTATTTAGAGTCATCCTATCCAGACTCAGTTATTTATTTAATAATATTTAACCCTCAAAATCATATATATAACAATAAATTATTATAAATAAATATAACAAATACTACCCAGACTTAATTACTTTACAATTAAATAATATTTCATTTTTATGCTTTCTTTGCAGTAATATGATTGAGATTTTTTTTCCCCACATCATAGTATTAAAGGTTTAGGGCATAAATGTGCTTAATTTGCTATGATAATAATGTTACCAAAATAAAAGTAAAAAAAAAAAAAATGTATATAATTTAAACATTGTAATAAATGCATAAAACAATAACTTTTTTCTTTATTTTACATTTTTTATTATATTTATTTTTAGTATGAGTTGAACAAGCTATGGGAAATTAATCCAAATTCATTTTATTATCTCAAAATTACAGCAAGTTGAAGAAGTGAATATGCTATCATTACAGGGAAAAAAAGGAATCATGGACACTTGTAGGAACTGATACTGTGGTACGATGCAAAATCTTGACATGACTTTGAAGTCAGTCACAAAAAGGCATGGTTGAGATACATCTGCAGAGAACTAAAAGTGGCATGAGGGACATTGTTGGATATTGTTTGTCCAGACAAGAATTAAGGAATAATGGTCTTGGGGTCTCACCCCATGGCTGGGTCCAGTGCGATTCCTTTAGGGTTATAGAGCTCCAGGTCCAGCAGGATGACACAGGTTAAGCCATCTTTACTGCACACAAAAATGCGGTCGTCCACATCATCCACAAAGTAGAAGTTTCCTGTCAGCCAGTCAATAGCCATCTGCTCCACATCTGAGTTTGTGAGAGAGAAGCAAGACAGGAAGAGAGTGAGGAGGAATACAGGGGGGGGAAAGAGAGGGAGAGATGTTTTTTCAGAGTTTGCTTTATTTTTAGTCAGTCATAACTGCAGCTTCTGTCTGACTCAGCAGAAAGATGCTGCACCGCAAAACTTGGGAGGACTGGAAAAGAGGAAACTGAAAACAAGAGCTACAAAAAAGCTTTAAGAGCTACAATGTGATTGCATCTGTCAGTGTACTTAAACATAGCCCCATTATCAGGCTACTATCAAAGGAGAACCAAGAAAACAAGACAATAGTTAGACACATCAACACCAACCACACTGCTGTTATTAATGTGCTTTGAAATCTCACTGGTACAAGATTCTGCTATTCATAGCTTAGCTATAATAGTGTTTAAAAAAAAAAGTTTGTGCACCTGAATAAAGTTTCTGAAAGAAGTATCTTATGTAGCACCCTATGATTTCCGCATGGCGGAAAACGAGGATGGAATTGCAGAATCCAGTCCAAATTCCAAAAATGGAATTTACTGAATAACGTGAAATGTCATGGAATTTGTCAAATTAGGGAAGAGTAAATCAAAAGTAGGACAGTAGATTTAAATCAAAACACAATATGGACTAGTGTCTGTGAATATTAAGACGTAAAAATACTATTTAAATATGAATCATGCATGTTCTGCGCATCTCTTTGTGAATGAATTACTACACATACTAAAGCACGCCTAACGCTAGTGGTGTTTTCGGCATCTGCCGCTTCAATATATGAGTACATGAGCACACAGAGCAATTACTAGAACTGCTCTGAGAGTCACTTAATGAGCATTTTACCGTTTATTTTGAGAAAAACTATCGTCATAAAGGTCTTCACCACAACCAGTCAAAATAAAAGTTTGGTTTAACTTGAAGAAACTGTGACAGAAATATATTGTTTAACGTAATGATAGTACTACTACTACTAATTAACTTTTACTACTACTAAAAAACTATTTTAAAGGAATATTTAGCAGAGAAATTATTTACCAGAATTGCAGAAATATATTGTTTAACGTAATGATAGTACTACTACTACTAATAAACTTTTACTACTACTAAAAAACTATTTTAAAGGAATATTTAGCAGAGAAATTATTTACCAGAATTTATTTAACAGGAAAACAAATACACAACACAGTATTTCTGAATAAATAAATAAAATAATATTTTATAAAAATCAATTAATGATTTTTTAAAGGGGGGAAGTTTAAAGGGGGAAAAAAATCCAGAAAAATGAAAACGGAAAGAACGGAATTTGGAAAATAATAAAACATATTTTGGGAGATAGAAATGGAATGGATGAAAATATAACGGATTTCATAGGGCCCTACTTATGCTTCCCAAGGTTGCACTTATTTGAAAACACAGTAAAACATTATTATTGTGAAAAATTATAACAATGTAAAATACCTATTTTAAAATGTTATTTGTTTCCTGTGATGGCAAAGCTGAATTTTCAGCATGATCCTTCAAAAATTCTAATTCAAATTTTTTAATATACTGATTTGATGTATTTACTGTCACTTTTGAGCAATTTCATGCATCCTTGCTGAATAAAGGTATTTCTTGAAAAAAAAGAATGGTATTGTATAAATAGATCAACCAAATAAAAGCCCTAAACTTTACAAAGTTTAACTGTATGAAAATGAACTGACAGTACAAGCAAAATTCATAAAGTACCCCACACACAAAACTCAAGCAGAAGATATTTATCTAAATCAATCAATTGTTAATCCATTCTGACTTAAAATGTCAGATTGAATTAAATGCAACAGTTACATAAGAACTACTGTACAAATGATTTCCGCAGAAACTCGTTCTGCTTGTGTTTTATGAATATGGCCCAATGGGTTTTATGCATGTCTCTGCATATGTATGTATGCATTTGTGTGTGTGCGTATCAGCCCAACTCTGACTCACTGTCACAAGATGATTATTCACTCAGAGAGTGTTTTTTCCACTTTTATGCATCAACACAATTAAAAAGACAGCAAGCAAAAAAAAAAAAAACTGACAGCAGAAACTCTACAAACACTATGGTAAAAAACCTCCATGCCTCAACCATCTACACACGTTCTCCATTACCACACCTTTTCCCTGCACAGGGAGGCTGGACTTGGCCATACAGATATCCTCAATTCTGGGAAAAGAGTTTGAAATGGTAATTCAGTGAATACTAAGTTTCTCTTTCTCTTCTATAACAAGACTCTTTCTGTGCGGGCCATGCAGAGCTCCAGCTGTGCAGGCTGGTCTGCGGTGCATCCCATGATGCTTGGTGTTGCAACAGCTGCCCCCGTACTTCCTGTTACTGATTTGGGGTAGGGTTTCTGCAGGCATCCACTAATGATCCTCAGACATAGGAATATATCCTTGTTGTGCAACCCAGCGCAGCGAGCTTGTGCAAACCAGACACAAACTGTTCTCACACATTTCTACAAAGTCCGGTAAACAGAAGCTCTGCCGGGAAATGTAAAACTACCTCCAGGCCACACTAACCCCTTCCCCTCCGCAAAACAAACATCCACAGTACCTGTTGCGCAAAATTGTAAAAGACATGTTATTCCAGAGGGCATTTCATCCTGACATTCTAATCCTGTACAAATCTGCTAAAACGACCAGTTACTCATCTTTCTTCACCCCCTCCTTTCTTCAGAGGAAAAGTATGAAACGATACGTGGTAAGAAAATCTGTAACTAATCATTTGTAACTACATCTCAGTAAAGGCAAAAGGTACCACATATGGTTATGAACCTGGATTTGTTGTGAAAATATGGCAGAAACTGCAGATGATTTTGAAAGGAGTAACACAAGGGAAAAGGAGAAGGGAAAGTAAAGACTACTTAGATTTCAAATTACTCACAAGATCTAAATTACTGTAAGCGGAAACTGATATAGGCATGTGATTAGGAATATATCAAGTGTAACTATGATAGATAAGACAAGGTTACAGCTACCAGTAAAGTGAAGCTTAACTATATCAGTGACAGAAACACAAGAGATTTAAGAAGGGTCAGGAGAACAAAGCGCTGAGTGTCTTTGAGGCCTGGGACACGCTGGTGGGATTCTTATGAATGGACAACTCTTTCAACAAGGCCAGAGCTAGGGTACTTCTCAGATGCATGGAATATGAAACATTGATGCATCAAGTAACAGGAAAATAATTATCCTGTTACAATGTTTGCTAAAATAATGCATATAATAATGCCAATAATAAACGAAGATTATGCAAATAATCCTACAAAATGAAATGAACTGTCAAGCCACTTAAAGGTATACTTCACCTAAAAATTTAATTTCTGCCCTTAATTACATTAATAATTCATGTCGTTCCAAACCCAAAGATGTTCAAATTCCTCTCTTCCATGTCAGTCTTTGACGCGCATTCAGACAATTCACCACACTTCATAAATTTAAGATTGAACCACTGATGTCACATGGACTATTTTATTGATGTCCTTACTACATGTCTGGGCCTTGAACATGTCAGTTGCGTTGCTGTTTATGGAGGGTCAGAAAGCTCTCGGATTTATCAAAAAATCTTAATTTGTGTTCCGAAGATGAACAAAGGTCTTACGGGTTTGGAACGACATGAGGGTGAGTAATTAATGACAGAATTTAGATTTTTGGGTGAACTATCCCTGTAATATAATGTCATAAAAACCGTATATTTAAAAATGGTCAGTGGAAGTCCTATATATCAGCAAGACCATTATATCGGCCAATATTTGGCCTTTTTTGGTGGTAAATCGCATTGGTCGCTATGTCATATTTACAGTGTTCTCTACATAAAAATTGTGTAAGCAGGTCTTCATAAGAGGAAATATAGTTCCCAGTACACAAAGACCTATTGGATTAGCCTGTTGGTTACAGTGTTTACTTCCTTTTTAGTCATATTTTTAATAATTTCATTATTACAGAACCAAGATGTTCTCATCTAAAGCATAAATCTTATTTTATATACATATATGTATTTTTAATATATTAATATTTTTTAAATCAAATTATTGTTTATATTAATTCTTTTTTAATTTTTTAAAAATTCTGATTTAGTAAATATTATGTAAAATAAATATATTTTTAATTGCACCATGTATTATTTACTTATTATTTATAATGTGTGTACCAACGGTTTTATATCGGCCATCAGCCACCCTGCTATTGACATTGGCCAAAAAAAAAACATATTGGTCAACCAATAATAATATACCAAATGAAATTCGATAACGTATAGAGCAAACAAATGTACAAATTAAACTAACATATGTTACACAAACAATAAATGACCAAATCAAACAAACAACTAAAGCATAAACTACAAAACTTGCATTTAGAAAACTTACAAGCTACAAATACATTTAGAAATGTACAAGCTAAACAAACATGTATAGCAATGACTGACAAACAAGTGGATGGAAAAAAAAAAATGTGCAAACAAAGACACACACACACACACAAAGTTAAAATTTGTATGACAAGCAATGACTGAACAAACGGAAGGATAAACAAAAGAATGTTTGTACAAAGTACAAACAAACACACAAAATATACAAACAGCTGATTTGCACCTGACATTTTGGACTAATAATTTCCTTCCCAGTACACAAAGACCTATTGGATTAGCCTGTTGGTTACAGTGTTTACTTCCTTTTTAGTCATATTTTTAATAATTTCATTATTACAGAACCAAGATGTTCTCATCTAAAGCATAAATCTTATTTTATATACATATATGTATTTTTAATATATTAATATTTTTTAAATCAAATTATTGTTTATATTAATTCTTTTTTAATTTTTTAAAAATTCTGATTTAGTAAATATTATGTAAAATAAATATATTTTTAATTGCAGCATGTATTATTTACTTATTATTTATAATGTGTGTACCAATGGTTTTATATCGGCCATCAGCCACCCTGCTATTGACATTGGCCAAAAAAAAAACATATTGGTCAACCAATAATAATATACCAAATGAAATTCGATAACGTATAGAGCAAACAAATGTACAAATTAAACTAACATATGTTACACAAACAATAAATGACCGAATCAAACAAACAACTAAAGCATAACAAACAAAACTTGCATTTAGAAAACTTACAAGCTACAAATACATTTAGAAAGGTACAAGCTAAACAAACATGTATAGCAATGACTGACAAACAAGTGGATGGAAAAAAAAAAATGTGCAAACAAAGACACACACACACACACACACAGTTAAAATTTGTATGACAAGCAATGACTGAACAAACAGAAGGATAAACAAAAGAATGTTTGTACAAAGTACAAACAAACACACAAAATATACAAACAGCTGATTTGCACCTGACATTAGCATTGGACTAATTTTGTGTCACTATAAGCATCCTTTTGTGCTACCATCTATCCTTATAATTTTTTCTAGAAAGCATTTTAGTGAGAAAAAAAAAAGTATGCAATTTCTAAAGTGCAGCAAATCTCAGTGAAAGCAAGCGAAAACACCAGAAATATATACAGGAAGACACATCAGTCACACTTCATGACTGACTGAAGACACCAGCAGACTCTAGAGCTCAGATACATCTGGACTAAATGTGGGCCATTCTAAAAAACTGCAGGACAACTATTACACAACCAGCAGCAAGGACGTCCTGAGCCAATGAAGTGTCGTGACACCCTCAAGCATGACTAAGAGAGAACTGATATGCACTACCCAAGTTCATCAGCCACAGTGGGGACGCCCACTCACCCACTGCCCCTCCTCACACACTGATGATGAGTTTGTGTGTGCATCCTGCTCTGTTTTCAGGCTTTTTACAGGGGAGAGCGGTCATGGGGCACATCTGGAGTGCTCATTTGCCCGGCATGCAACAGTTATAAATCACTCCCCCCTGTGAGAAACTGGGCCATATAAGTCAATGCAGCACCATTACTGCACAGCACCCCCAGCATCACATAAACCGAATATCTGCAGCATATAGGCTCATTAAAAAGACTCATCCATCTACTGTCCTTCCATTCCTCCTGCCTTTCCTGCAAAACGGCCACATAGAGTCATTAGGGATGTGGCTGTAATAACAGTTGTCCTATACACACTGAAGAGCAGAGGCTGTTGATTTATAGGTCCAGTTAGAGAGAGATCAGAACTTTGATAACATATAATTATCTCAGCCCTGGTGGCGTAGGGCCTCTGGACACGGTGTAATTGAACAAGGATGCTTTGATTTATGACCTCTTTGAGGAAGTTTTGCGGCTGGTTTTGTAAAAGACCTGAAGCTACATAATTGGTGACGTAGGTGCTAGCAGCATTAAACCTACAGTGAAGCAGAACAGAAGAGATCTGCTGTCTTTGAGAACATCAAAGATCAATGTCAAAAGACAGTGACAAAGCATTCTGAGAATTTATGTCTCTCTAATGGGGCCATTTTGAACCTTGCTACCGTACCTTTAAGACTCCTGTATGCAAATGACCATGTTTAGCATCCTTTTTCTGAATCTATATGATTGCTTTGTGTAAGAAAAATACCGCAACTGGATCACTGAATCAATGAGTCAGTGAACAAATCATTCAGACTAGTTTTGCCAAACAGATCAACCAATTCATCAAAGACTCAAAAGAATGATTCGTTCATGAAATGGGCATAGGTAACGATTGGTATCAGTTCAATCAAGAATTGGACAATGTAACAATTGTTAAATATTAGATTCACCAATCGACTGGCTAGGGACCGGAATTAGCCAGTTTTCCGCATGATCGGCCCAGATCGGTGACCGGCCGGTCAGTCTGATAATGTATTTATGTTGTGCCAGATGAGGTTTGCGCAGCCTGAGTGAGTTTGTAAGAGAAACTCGTGCATTAATCAAAACAAATAAGCACAACAGCACTCATAGAAAGTTATAGATGCATATAGTGCTGTAGAAAAAAATATTATAATATATGATTTAGGTACGCAGCATTGCACGGCCAAGATAACCCAAATATCAACGCGATATCTGTAACCTAGTCCAGATTGGGGGAACTGTAATGTTTAATACATTATTATTATGTAAATATATTTTTGCATTGAAAAAAGTATAGATTTTTGTTTATATATACTGTCAATTATAGTTCTTAGAAAAAAAATTGGAATCGGCAAAAATCGGTATTGGCAGGTCACACACACACACAAAAAAAAAATCAGAAATCGGAATCGGCCAAGAAAATACACCTTTTTTGGTAACTTCATGACTTAACTGACCACGACATTGCATGCACAGAGTTTATTTCACGCTTTGATATGAAAGGATACAGGCTACAGCGCGCGCCGGCGCCTTTGTGCATGCAACTGAAGAGCACGCGCTGCGAGCACAATACCATTTGCTCATGTGGCTCACGCCTGGCTCTGAAGTGAAGTGGAGCACACATCTGAAACGTCTCCCATTCTCAGTCGTTCTGTGACTGAATAAATGCACTTCTTGTCAAGAGAAAAAGTGACAGAAGCAGCAGTTGTGAGTGGGGTGACCAACCCTAGCCCCGCCCCTGCGTTAATTGCGTTAAATATTTTTAACGCGTTAAACTGAAAAAAATTATCGCCTGACGCGCTAATTTTGACACCACTAATATATATATATATATATCAGATCTTGTCAATTAATTGCTTAATTCAGGTAACAAAACTGGTTTGAACGATCCATTAATTAATCAGATTGGGTCTGTGTCATCTTGGGTCATCTTGGTCTGATCCTCACACAATCACTTGGTATACAGAACAAGAGTCATAGACTACTTCAGGATACTCTCACGTTTTTTGTTTTTTTTTAAGGGTCACGAACTGCCTTTGTTTTTGAATAGGCGTGGCAGATTGTAAACTCTGCATTTGCCTCTCTCGTCATTTACCTTCTACACATGCAAATCGAGGGCAGGGCTAAACAGGCAGCGATGTAGAAGCAGGTGCTGATCTTCTTCTGTGGAGGCGGTGTTTATCCACACTATTACATAGAGTGGTACATTCCACAACTTGCCTTCGATGCAAGCAGTTTTTAGACTAATGAGAAAGTTTTAAAGTGTGTAACAGCTCTAAGTGAAGTTGGTCTGAATGAAAATGCAAAATGAAAATGCAAATTCATTCTTTGCCACTAGGTCGGTAAAAATAGTGGTTTCCCCGGTAACGCTGTACACAAAGCAGCAGCTCACAAACGTTACTTTATCAGGCATCACAGGCCCTGTCCACACGAACGCGGTTATTTTCAAAACCGTAGCTTTTTCTACACGGTTTGGCTGTTCGTCCACACGCAAACGCTGCACCAGGTCACTGAAACCATGAAACATTTTTGAAAACTCCTGCCAGGGTGAAGATTTTCAAAAACTCCAGTTGCAGTGTTATCGTGTAGACAGCGAAACCAGAGATTTTGGCTTGTGACGTCGGAGCATGCACTGTTATCTCTGCCTACTGGAAACTTTTTCAGGCTTCTGATTGGCCAACACGGCTTTACGGTTGAGATTATATAGCCACCTGTTGGTTTGGCATTCTCTTGATAGTGCTTCATAGCATGCATTTGCGTTTTCATGTGGACTGAGATTTTTTTTAAAATGGAAGGAAAAACTCGAAATGAAAATGAAATGAAAATGAGACCAATCGGACCAAACACTGCAGATTAGCGTCACGCAAAGGAGGGGTTTGGAAAAATGAATCGTTCAGCGAATCATTTGGGAATCGTCGAGCAAGTAAGGTAAAAATAAATGCATATTATAAGACAATGAAAGTGTTTTTTGACCTTGCATGCCTGTCAACCTGTTGTTGGGGACTCCCAAAACCAAAATATGAACCTTTCATTACCCATAATAGGGGCATTTTAAGTTCTGAAACTTGTCAGAAGATCAAAGGAATTTAGATTTCTCAGTTCATGACCCCTTTAATGAATTGTTTTGGCAGTTTGAATGTGTTTCCAATTACTGTAACTACATGGAAAAGAGCAACCAGCAAAAAAACTCAATTTTTCCTTCTGAAGAAATTACACAACCGTTTCTAAAGTTTCGGGTCAATAACTTGTAATTTTTATTTTGTAATAATTTTAATATTAATGTTTTATAGTATTTTTGATCCAATAAATGCAACCTTGACTTCCTTAAAAAATTTAAAACTTTTGAATGGTAGTAGTAAGTCATAAGGGCCTCAAATGAGGTTTTGTAAATTATGACAACTTCTGCCTCTGGATAAACTATTAATTTGGTAGCACAAATCTGTAATCACAGGTTCAACCCAAACCAGGAAGCTCATCTAATTATTTCTTGTAAACCATGAAGGCCCTAACAAATAAATTCATAAGTTCATGTTTTTTGGCCCAAACCGACAACTGACATTCATGTAAAACACACAAGTAAGAACATGGTACTGACGGTGCAGGCTGAGGGAGATGTTGATGGTCTTCTCCTCCGTGAAGCTCTTGGCATTGGGGAAGTTGGCACACTTGAGTTGGGTGGCTGCGGGGGAGTCTCCCATGTGGATCCAGCACACGGTCTCCTGGGTGTAGATAAAGTCCATAGCAGTGGTCTGCTTTGTGTTGATGGAGATGGGATTGGCTCCACTTAGAGAGGTGGCTTGGATGTTCTGTGAGTTGGCTATGAAGAGGTACGGATGCCGATCTACAGGGTCTTAAACATAGAAGGGAAAACATGGTCCTTACAAAACAAAAAGGATTTGACCACACAGCTAGCAAGACAAAAAAGGATCAGCAGAAACTATGTTCATTTCCTACCATTCTTGGCCTTGCAGGAACGGTTGTCTGGTTGAGGCAAGTAGCCCTCCACACAGCTGCAGGTGTAGGAGCCATCTGTGTTTGTGCATGTCTGACTGCAAGTCCCATACACTGCACACTCGTTAAAGTCTGACACAGAGAAAGCCACATGTTTCCCATTCAATACTTATTCAGTCATCACTTAATTACAAAATCAAAGTCATTCAAAGCTCACCTTTGCATCTCTTTCCATCTTCTCCCACCTCATAGCCATTCCTGCAGTAGCACTTTGGACCCGACAGCGTCACTGAACAGTTGTACTGGCAGCCCATGATGGTGCAGTTAAGAGCATACTCTATGGAACAGGAAACAGAGAGAACAGAGAGTTAGCAGAGAAACATCCACATCTAAATTAAATATTGAACAGAAGAAATTAAAAAACTGGTAAGTAGGACTAGACAAATTCACAACATTTGTCAGCTTTTGGATTTTATAATATAATATAATATAATATAATATAATATAATACCCAGCGACCTTACAGATGATAAGCAGTTTGGAGAAAATATGGATGGATAAAATAATATGTTAATTTGATTTCTTTTTATAATATAAAAAATAATAAAAATTCCAGCAAAAATCCAGCAATTGATACAATTGTGTATTATTATATTATATTATATTATATTATATTATATTA